GGAAGGACCTGTCCCTGGAGAAGGACATCATGGATTGTCCAGAGCGAAGGAGGGCACAGTGGCCGCCACAACGGGCTCATGCCTGGCAGGGATGGTCAGGGCAGCACAGGCCCAGGCAGGGCTTCCTTCTGTTGCCTGAGGGTGGCTCTGTGCAGGGCCAACTCCACAGCACCTGACAACCATCATAAGGAATCTGAAATGCTTTGCTATAGAAACCAATGCATGAAGGAAAGAAAGGAGTCCTTCTGTCTGGGTGTGACGGATGGGAGGACAGGACAGGAGAGAGGTGCTGCTCAGGATCTGCTAGGTAGCTAGTTTAGGGACAGGGGGTTGTCCCTCCCATGCCTGCAAAGGCCCCCACAGAGGGGGTTGGAGAGAAATCAGGCAGCCATTAGATACTTACGAAGACCCCAAACTGAGCGTCTTGTACTCAAGCCCTTTCCCCTTCCCCTCCAGCCAGGTTGCCAGGCAGGAGGGACACCTGGGCGGGCCAAACTAAGCCCTGGCTCATGACATCACCCAGGTGGGTTCAACCCAGCCTATGGGACCAACCAATACCATCAACCACAGCTTCCCCCAGCCAGGGGCTGGGCTAGAATAAAGGCAGGGAGCACCTCGGATGCTCTCTTACCCTGTTCCTGGTCAGAGGCAGGTAGAGGGGGAGGGGCTCCCCACCCCACCAGCCTGAGGGCGCAGTTGTGCCTGCTCCAGGCCTACTGGGGCCCACAGCCTCTGGGCCCACATGCTCTCAGCCTCTAGGGTTCTTGGTTTTCTGACCTCTCGGGATTCCCCCCAAGATCCTCACGTGCGGGTGCTCTTTTCCACGTGGTTGTTGGGGCCCAGTTGTGAACCCCTTTGAGACTGTAGAACCTGAAACTTGTCCTGTCCATAGAAACCCACTGGGATTACAAAACGGGCTTCGGCGTGAATTCTTTCATCATGCGAAGCCAAGAACGGAGGCATTATCAACTCCAGAAACCTAACACCTGGAAGGACAAATGCTGTCACACCAGGAGCCTGGTGGCGCAGCATCTCAGCGCTCACTGAACGGTTGTGCGGTAGAGCCCACTGGTCACTCTTCTCCAGAAAGATGAGGCAGGCTACTCCCTTAAGGATGACACCTTGTGTGACAGTACTTGTCCCCTGCTAATGTCTCCGTGGGCTTCCCAGGTGCCCGGTTATTTCCTGAATGCTGAGCACCTGGGGGTGGGGTCTCCGCCTCGTCTGCACACACCACTGTGCTGGCTTCTTTTTTAAAGGTGGTAAAACTTTTCATTAAACCTATTATTTATTAAACTTATTATAGTGATACCTCGGTTGTCGAATGGCTCCAACCAAGCCTGCGCATTTCACTACTCGAGCAGCAGAGTTTGGAAAGAAAAAAAATCTGTTTGGTGTTCCTACTTTGCTCGATGGTCCACGGAAAATCAGACTAGAGAAACCTGTCCGATGGTCCACGGAAAATCAGACTAGAGAAACCTGTCCGGCCGAGAGTCAGTCACGTGTTGAGCCTCCCCTCGCTGGAACACAAAGGGGTGGAGCCCCAGTCTAGACACTGCTCTCGCTGAGACAGCACAGAGCGAGTGTGTTAGTGCGGTAAAACATTGGGCATTTTTCTTTCATTTTATTTGCATAAGATATTATAACCATGGCCCCAAAGAAAGAGGAAACCGGTGAGAGCCATGCGAGAGTTAAAGGTGAATCAGGTCCCTGGTTTTCTGAGTTGGCGGCTGAATACAACCTGGCTAAGTCAACATGATCAACAGTTTTGAAGGGGAAAAAAAGTTATTAAAGCGGCTAATGTAGCGGACGAAATGTGTGAAATGGTTAACTACGTCGAAACAGAGAACCCAGATCATGGAAGAGATTGAAAAGTGACTGTTCATTTGGATAAATCAGAAACAACTCGATGGCGATGGCGTAGCCGAGGCAGTGATGTGCTCGAAGGCTAAAAGCCTCCACAGTTAATTTATAAGTGCAATTTTTTGGGTTTCATAACTAATTACTTAGTTTTCCATGATTTCCTATGGGAAAAATATGTTCAG